TGAGATATGGTGTTCTTCTTGGGACCATCCTTAAGCACTCTAGTTGGGATATCCATTTATCTCAGAAGAGAGACAAGCCCCCCCCCCCTTAACTGAGCCATCTCACTTGCCTATGTAACACTTTAAAAGTCTCCCCCACCTCATGTCCCCTTTCAAGTGACTACTACATCGCTCAGAGGTAACTATTTTTTCTGGCTTCTAAAATCCAAACATTCACTTAACCTGTTTTGAGTCTTATGTAAATGCAATAATTCAGCATTTGTTCTATTGCATCTGGCTTCTTTAGCTCAGAATTATATTTGTAAGATGTATCCACATCAATATATGTAGCTGTACATCATTAATTCCTCAGCCACTCTGGGGAATGCCTGGTTGGGATTACAGTCTTTTATTGCAAATTAATTGAGCAGATAAAGAGATGCATTTGTTAATCTTGGTAATCTTATAAAAAATAGATAGGCTATCCTAAATGCGATTTCTTTTCATTATTTAATGTTTGCCATTTAACTTTCAAGGTGAACTAGAAGCTGGTGCTTTACAGTTATTGCAAAACCATCTTTTCAAAAATGTCAATATAAAAATTGTGATACTGTTCTGCAGGTATGAAAGTCAAGCACAGGGAGGTTAAAACTGTCTTTGTTCTGCCAGCACAAACCCTCCAATTTATGTCCAATAAATGCATTTTTTTAGTACTCTTTCTTCCAAAATTGACAGGGTCCTGTGAGAAAATGAAAGAAGCAATTTAAGATTTGCTTTCATTTTACCAAGCAGAAATTAGCAGAACAAAAGCTTTGTTGTAAAAGATCTGTCATCAAAGCACAAACAATTGAACAGATCAAAGCAGACATTGCTAGATTAAAGTTGAAGAGAGTTGGAGTCCCGCTCTTCTGTCTTCCTCTTTTTAGCAATAGCAGTTTGGAGCAGCGTTTCAGAATTTCGGATACCCTCCAGGAGCACTTTATCTCCATTTAGATCTGATGAAATGATGAATTTGTGACCAGTATTTCTGAATTGGGGTCTGAGGTTCATTTTTTTTTTAAATCACTGACCAAAATTGCCGAGGTAATTTCTTCCCAAAGACAAGGTTCTCCATGTTATCTCTTTCGAGATGGCTGAAGCCTTGGACGCTTACTTGTTAATGTTCTCTGTGATGCCTCTTCCTAACATTACATCAGGAGTCCAGGCTCTACGTGAATCTTGGTTTTAGTATAAAGAAGGAAAAGTCAGGAGAACAGACTAACCCTGAGTTATCAGAGTAAAGTGAGCTCTTGTTAAAGAATATAACTTGGCACATACCTACCAGGAGGTTTGACCTTTTGTTTGATATCTTCCTCCATATTCCCAAGTCTCAATGAAACTCACTTCTCTAGGCACCTGGTGAGTGCATAATAAATGTTCTCTTAATAAATTTTCCATGTGAATTCTGGTGAACTCCCTTTTCCATGATTATAAATCCAAATAAGTGCTCAAGAGTAAGTATACTCATCACTAAACTCCGGTAGTGTACATCCTAGGTAATAGAAATTGCTGTTCTTCCTGTTGACAAAGAGATGCTTGCAAGTCAAAATGTCTCCTTTGTTCACTCAACAAGTATTGATTGAGCATGTACTATGCATCAGTCATTATTCTGGGTGCTTGGGAGTTGAACATCAGTGAAAAAGAAAATCTCTGTGCTCAGGGAGCATATTTGTTAGCAAGAGACACAGAGAGTAAACAAGAAACATAAGTAAGTGAATTATATAACATGCTGAAAAGTGATAAGTGCTCACAACAAAGAGAAAGATGTGCCTGGAGCTGAGGTAGAAATTTCGAATCCAGTATTGGGCATTTGTCTTCCGAGTGAGATGAGGCACCATCTTTTTTTTCAGTTTTGCGCACAGGAGGAACATGTTCAGACTTGCACTTCAAAAATATTTCTTTGAGTGCTCTGTTGAGGAAGGAGGGAGATAAAATAGAAGCTGTGAAACTTGCCAAATGATTGAGGCAGGTACCAAGGTGGTAACAGGGATTAGATCTGGGTATGTTTGGAAAGTAGAGTCATGTATGAGAGAGACATCTAAGGTTAGCTCAGGGCTTCTGGTTGAGCAACTACAAAGGGTGCAGGTGGATTGGATAGGAGGGGAAGATTAAGAGTTATGTTTTGAACAAAATAAGCTTGAAATGTCTATTAGACTTACAAGTGGAGATGTTGAAAAAACAGTTGGATGGGAGTTGAGTTTGGGAGTCCTATCTGGCCTAGATATATTTGAGAGTCATCAGTAAATAGATATCATTAAAGTCCATGGTATTGAATACAATTAGGAAGGGAGTGAGTGAAGAGGGAGAGAAGATGCCCCAGGGCTGACCCTGGGGCACACCAATATTATCAGGTCAAAGAGAAGAGGAGTAGTCAGCAGTGAGTACCGAGAAAGAGCAACTACTAAGGTGAAAGATGTTAAGATATTAAAGCAAAGAGGTGTCGCATCCTGGATGTAGTTTGAGGAAATATTTATCTAGGAAAAGGTCATTATCACCTTTGTTAAATTCTGCTAAGTCAAGAAGGATGAAGGGTAATGAAATGCTATGAGATATATCAACGTGAATGTCATTGGTCATCTTGGTGAAAAGATCTTTTGGTGTAGACTCTACACTGTAGAGGGTAGGAGGTAAAGTCTTATGGATATAGGCTTGAGTGACAGGAGAAGAGAGAGGAGAGAGGCTAAACAAGCATTGCTGCTAGGAAGAGCAAAGCCGTTAAAGGATAACTGGCAAGGGAAGTATAAGACTCAGAGAAAGGTTCCCTTTTTAATGCATGAAAGCAATGTGAACAGTCTATGCAAGATGTGCAGAAGAAAGTGGACAATTTCTAGAGCAACATCCTTGAGTAGGCAAAAAGAGATGGTCTCTGGCCTATGAGTGGAGGCACTGGCATTATACAAGGCTCGGAAAGTTAGTCTATGCTTGACAGGCAGGAAGATTGGGTACAAATCTTGGCAGGTAGGGAGATATGATGATGGAATCTGGACATTCTCTTCGGATTGCTCTAGTTTTTACAGTGAGGTAGAAAGTACTGGTTTTATTTTCAAAGTATTCAACCACTTTCTCAATTGTTTGGACAGCAGTTTGAGCAATCAGCTCTCACCTGGATTTTGGTATTAGTCCCCTTATTGTCTTCCTGCTCCTGCCCGTTCCCTATTTTAGATGTCTTCTTAAAGCATAGGTCTATTCATATCACTTTTGTGCTCCACCCTTCCATCATCTTATTCCAAAAAATGAAAGAAAGAAAAAAGGTTGCCTCTTCCCTACCTTCCAAACACAACTTTGCCTCCTCCCACTCTCCTACTCACATACTCTGCAGCAGCCACACTGATCTTCTTAGCAACCTCCCTTTGCACATGTTCTTCCCACTGTCTGGCATTGTGTCAATCTGGGTAGACTAGAGAAACAAATCCATAACATATGTGCATAAGAAAGAGGTTTATATACAAAAACAACTGAATATTGAGAAAACATCCCAGCCCAATCTAGATCAAGTCCTTAAGTCTGATATTAGCCCATATGTCTGATACCAATCTATAAAGTCCTCTTCTGACTCATGAAACACATACAATGATGCCAAATACAGGACGATCACAGGCCAGTAGGTGGGAGGTCCTGTGGATCCAGTGGTGTTATAAGCATCTCAGTGCTGGCTGGGGTCTCCATGTGGCTTCTCCAGCACCCAGGACTGCATCAGGGTAGGTCCATGTGGCTCCTCCTCAGGAATGCCTCGCTGGGAGTCAACCTTGTCAGTAAAGAGTCTCCAAGGGAGTGAACAGAGAGAGAGAGAGAGAGAAGTGTCTCCTCCCTCCAAGAAGGAAATACAGGAGTTCCCAGAAGGAGAAAGCCATACCCACCCAGAGGCCTCATTGGTTATATTGTGATTGCCAGGCCAGACTTCTCCCTTTCACTCATAATCCTCTCAAATTGACACCAGATTTTGTAACTACCACAGGCATATTCTTCATGGCTCACTCACCTACCCGATTAAGATCTTTACTTAAATGCCATGCAATTATGTGTCTTCCCTGACCAGATTATTTAAAATTATAACTCCTATGCTTTGTAGTCCCTACCCCTTCCCTGTTTTTTCCCTCTTATAGCACATATTAGACTCTAATGTATAATATAATTAATTCACTATTTAGTATTGTGTTAGGCTGGGTTGGCTAGAGAAACAAATCCAGCATTGACGGATGTAACATATAGCCCTTATGAAGGTAAAAAACATTTCCATTCTCCTTGAAATTTTTATAGTACCCCTTCTGAGCCACTCTCCCTTTAGTGAAGCAACCACCATTCTGATTTCTGCCCACCTAAGTTAGTTTCAGTTGTTCTTGAATTTCATATAATTGAAACCAAACAGTATGTAATCTTTTGTATTTGATTTCTTTTGTTCAGTTCAGCACAAAAATAACAATAACATTTTTACAACCTCGCTGCTGCCCCAAAGTTGCTCTGACCCCTAGGGACCCTGTAAAGACAGAGTAGAACTGCCTCTGAGTATTTCCAAGATTGTAACTCTCGAAGGGAGTCAAAAGCTTTGCCTTTCTCCCTCATCTTCAGCAAAAAAATCTCTCCATGCGGTTGCATGTATTTGTGTTGGTTCCTTCTTATTGCTGTCTAGAACTCATGGTATCTATGAATCCTTGATATTCCATATGCATATTGCAATCCCACCCCACCCCCCATTCTCCTGGCGGTACATCGTGATATATCCAGGACCACCAGGTTCTGCATGGGAGAGTGTAGGCATGGGAACACACTTGTATGCGACATTTCATAGATAAGTACATCCCTCAATTCCTCATTTTGCTTTGCCTGGGAATTCCTGATCAGAATAGATAGATTGAAAGATTGTGCTTTTCAGTTGTAATGATACCAATTCCATGTAATTTTGTTCCCCACTTTAGGTCGTTTTGTACTTGTTCACTTGTTTATTTTTCTGAAAATAATTAATTTTCCTTTTTCTTCCATTGCAGGCTTTGCACTTCTGGGAGGACACCCTTGTTTTCTTACCACACAAGATATTCATTTGGGTGTAAATGAAAATCTCACCGACACAGCCCGGTTGGTAAAACTCTTCTCTCCCAAGTTTATTTCAGGCCCTGGGGAAGACCTTTCAAAAGGGAAACCCTATTCTCTTTAAATAATGCTTTTGTGTCGATGTGCCCTTTTGGCCCTTCTCACGTTTTCCTCTTTTTCTGATATCCTGAACACCACACCCCTACCCCTAGGCTCTTTTCATGGATTAAGATGAATGGCTTTTCTTAGCAATTTTAAGCATCAGTCCTAATATTCATAGTTACTAACCTGATCAAAATCTCCTTGTAAAATTCAGACTTTAGGGGAACTTAAATATGCTCAAGCATAACTTATATTTTGCACGCAAAGACATGGAGGTCCAGGGAAATTGACTTGTTTAATAGCTCATAACTAGTTAGTATCTTGGCATGTAACCATACATTTAGCTAATGTTTATGGAACAATTATTACATGGCAGGCATTGTCATATCTGCTTTTATATAATCCTTATAACAACACAAGCCAACTCCAACCCAAATCCATTGCCATGGAATCACTTCTGACTCATAAAGACCCTAAATAGGGTTTCCAAACCTGTACATCTCTGTGGGAACAGATAGCCTCATCTTTCCCCTGCAGAGCAGCTGGTATAATTGAACTGCCAGCCCTACAGTTAGCAATCCAATGCTTGCCCGACAGAGCCTCCAGGGCTTCTTTACAAAGTCCAAGCACTGTGGCATAAAGAGGTGAAACAGCTTAGTCAGAGATATACGAGTGCTAGACCACAAATCTCCAATGTCAATGGCTTGGCCCAGCAGATGTTCCTGACTGGTGAAAGGGAAAGATAGATTTTTCCTTATGTGGTTGTTCGGGAACTCTGGCGGAGAGTGGCTCTGCCGTTTTCAACACATAGCCTCTAATGTCACCCCTAGTGCAAACATCCAGCCAGGAGCTAGGAGAGCAGAGCATGGTAAAGCATACCTGTGTCAAAGCCACAGTAGCGGGAAAGTGGTTACACATCACTTCCACTTACATTTCATAGCTAAGAACCAGTCGCTCACCCCTAGGTAAGCGAAAGAAGAGGTGGAAATGGCTCTTAATCACTAGACTATATGGCAGACGGAAACATAGGCCTCCTGACTCATGTAGTGCTCTTGCCACGATGTCACACGTGGCTCAGAAATTCAGAGCAAATATCTGTGTTAACTGTTTTGCCTTCTATAAGAAACGTTAACCATTTTCTTCCTGAAAATGCTGTGCCACAAAGCATCCCTTTGAAAACATTGTCTGTTTTTTATGGCAGCCACCCTGGGATGAATTAAAGTATCCGTCTCATTTGAATTGCTGCAGGAATTAAAAACAATAACAAAACCCACAAAAACCCTCACCTTTAAAACTTTTAGCTACAGTACTTCAGAAGGGACAATGTTAGTGTTAAGAAAAAGTGTTGTATTCATTTTCTGGATGCAAAGGACAAAAGGAATAAATAAATGTAAATGAAGTTTTCTTCCAAATGTGCCACTGTTGACTGGGATTATATGTGTTCAATAATTCTGGCTCCATAAACGTGAAATATACTTTATGCAAGATCTCATATTTCCAGGCTAGCTTAGAGATGGAGGGGAGACAGTCAGGAGAGAAGGCTCAGTGGGCATCTCCCAGAATGCCAGCAAATGAGTCATGTGTGAATTAGCCATTAGAAGATCCAAGGAATTAGCCAGTTGGAAGATCCAAGAAAAAAGTTAAAGTGTGCAGATTGGCATCCAGAAACAGGTTGGTCTCCAAAAATCAGTGGAGAAGACAAAACCTCAAGACAAGAAACAAATCGCCAAGCAGGGATTATGAACTGAAGATGTGTTATGAACACGTTCTTTTCTGTGCTTGCTACCCACGCAAGCAATAATTCCTATTCCAACACTTCCATTAGAGGAGCGCTACATAGATTCCGAGGGACAAAAATATGGTCACAAATTCTAGCCTGATCATGAATTTTGAGTCCATATAAATAGTTTCACTGCTACATGGATATATATGTCACCTGTGTAGCAAAGGTGGTTAATAAGCCCTTCTCCAATCCTGACACCAAATTATTTTTCATATAATCCAGCTTCTCTTATTATTTTTTCAGCATTCAGTCTGCATGATCATGATAAGAGCATATAACCCCGACACACTCTTTTCTTGCTTGTTCAGTTCACATAACTGCCTCTTGATCGTGTTCTGGAATTCCTGTTCTTCTCAAGGATATCGATAGTTTGAGATAATCCACACAGTCAAATGCTTTGGCATAGTCAGTAAAAGAGAAGCAACTGTCTATCTGGTGTTCTCTGCTTTCAGTCAGGTTTCATCTGACATCGGTAATGATAGGCCATGTTCCACATCCTCTTCTGAATCGGACCTGAACCTCTGGCAGCTCCCTATCAATGTACTGCTGCAACTATTGTTGGCAGATCGTCAGCAAGAAGATCCTTGCTGGATGATCTCTTCTGTTTGTCATTGTCGGATGATTTTACTTGCATGTGATGTGAACGATATTGTGCTATAATTTGAACATTCTGTTGGGTAATTTTTCCTTGGAATGGGTACAAATATGGACCCCTTCCAGTCATTTGGCCAAGCAGCTGTCTGCCGTAGTTCCTGGCATCGATGCGTAGGCGCTTCCCCAGTGCTTCATGTTTGTTGAAACATTTCAATTGGTTTTCCATCCAGTCTTGGAGCCTTGTTTGTAGCTCATGTGCTCAGTGAAGCTTAAACTTCTTCCCTAAGCACCACTGACGCTTGCTACACCCGGAAATTCAAAATTCAATCATATTAAGAAGAGTTGTGTGATCATCATCACATTTAATTTTAGGATAGTTCCCCTTTCTTGTAATTATTGTCGTTAGGTCCCAAGTTTCCCCAACCTCACCTGGCATGTCCCTAGGAAATTATTAATCCTATCTCTGTAGCTTTACCTAGCTTGGATTTCATTCTGCACCCATCAGAAATCAGAAGACGAGTTATTGCCGCAGCTATGCCATTCATCTACTCTGGGGCTTCATAAGTGTCCATTTCTGTGGATAAAAGTTTCCTTTTTTTACACATATAAAATGAAGTCAGTCTGATTTTTAATTTGCTTTAACACTGCACTCTGAAAAGCATGCACATTTATTAACTTCAAAGTAGTAGTCTGTAAACAGTGCCATGTGCCAATATAAACTATGTGTGGGTCTATGTAGAGTTCCTTGT